CAAGCCAGCCACGAGCAGAACACCATTCCTTGGCAGACTGCATGGCTTCCTCGTCCTTAAGCAATGTTTCCTGCAAGAGAAGAATAGAAGCCCCTTGAACATTGCCAGGCTCATGGTCGTAGTTCGCCTTAAAGGTAGCAAGCGACTTCGCGCTCAGGGTTGTCATTTGCAGGGCCCACCCTCGGCCCGAAGTTGGTCAAAACTCAGTATCCTCAGGACCTGCCACCCCCCCTTCTGAATGCTGGGGCGGCTGCTGGCTGGGCAGGGCGGCGGCGGTGGCTGCCCCCCCCCCCCCCTCCCCGCCTTTCCTTTGCCCTGGGGTCCTGCTGTCGACGACGCCGCAGCGCCTGGATACTTCAGACTGGAATTCTGCACTCCTGAGCTTTGCTGGGCGCCCTTTCCTTTCTTGATAGCTTTTCCAGACTTGGTCTTCACGGGGGACCTCACCTGATCGTGAATCTCTCGGCACTCTTGACGAAGGGCGTCCATTTGCTCCTGGAGGCTGCTGAGATCTTCACCAAGGCGCTTCCCACCTCGAACCTCCATTTCTTCACCCGATACCTCATGTCATCTGCTGGTAGCTGCTGCTTCTCCTCCGAGGGCCCCTGCAGGTTCTGCTGGGTGATCTTGTTTTCCAGTCCTACCAGGGGCTTCTGCATGGATACCTCCAGCTTCCTGGCGTGTGCATGAAGTTCCATCAGGTCCTTCATTTTAGCAAACATGCCTTCCAAAGCCGAGAAACCATCCTCCAACTGCTTTTTTCCCCTCAGACGAGAGACGGGCATATTCTTTGGTCAAAGCTCCCATCAGGCCCTGGACCCGGTGGACCACACTGTCGGGTTCTGGCTCAGGAGGCTCACGCGAGGAGGACTCAGGACGCAGGCAAGCAAGCTGGGCGCTGAGCCACTCCAGCTGGGCTTTCGACTCACGAATCTACTTCATGACCATGCACGTCGCTTGGGATTCCAACTCTGCAAGAGTTTCCGTGGCAGAGGTGATGAGGGACTTCTGATGCTGAGTCTGGACCGCGAGACTCTGAGCCTTTTTGCGCAGGGGAGCGATTCTGGAACACCTTCTCCTTCGCAGCCTTGACTGCTTCATGGGCCGAAACCAGCCTAGGATCGGTAGGCTCCACTCCCCAACCCTTGCAGAACTTGACAAGATGCTGCGCCATCGAGAGATCTTGGGAAGAAGGATCAGCATTCTGGGGAGGCACCGAGGGCATCGTATCCTTATGCCACGGGGGCTTCTGACCTCCTGCTGTTTCGACTCCTCCAGACGAACCTCCTCCACCTTCATACCCATGCCCCTTGCCCTTCCCCTTCCATTTGCCGCTGGGTCCAGCCGGCGGCACTGTACCTGGCTGCGGCGCGCCGCACAAACCGCAATAGGACTTGCGGCAGCTGGCCCAGGTCCAACCTGGGCAGATGGGGCTGGGGCAGCAAACATAACAGATGGGCTTCTTCGTCCAAGACATTGCAGGCGCGGGAGACGTCGGGCCGTCGGACGGCCAGCGCAGAAAGAAAGACCACGGCAGCGGGGCTTGCCGTGGCGGGTGCGAGAGACAGTCGCCTGCTGTGGGGCAGCTCGCCTCGAGCCAGCCCCTCGGCTGCAGGCAAGCACGAAGCCGCAGGGCCACGGTTTCGTACTTGAGCCAAAATTGCTACTGGGAGGAGGAGGGGGGGGGTTCGGGAGGGGGGGGGGAGGGGGAGTGGAGTCCCCCTGGTTTTGATCGACGGCGCCGAGTGTTTGGGGGGGGGGGGGGGGGGGGGCACCCCCTGGTTGGAAACGCGCCGCCGAATGTTCCCCAGGCAAGCGCCCGTGAAACGCGTTCTTGAGAGGCAGTGGTGCGAGAGTAGTGGGGGAGCGGAGGAGAGGGGGCAAGGGTTGCGCATAAGACGAAACGAGGGAGCCGAAGGGGCAGAGAGGGAGACCCAGGCAGCGGAGGGCACGACGTGGAAGAGTGGATGGAGGGTCGGCGCCTCCTTTTGCTGTCTTCTGGGAGCTCACCATGGGCGGTTTTCTGTGTGCGGCGTCTTTCTTTTGATTTCCATAGGTTTTCTCAGGATTCCCAGCTGCGGTAGATCCGTGCTGTGTCGACGCGGCGGCGACCCCGCCACGGGCGTTGAAGTTTGAACGCCGCGGTGGCCCATGATGGGATACATCTTGCCTCGTTCTTACCTTCTTGGGCCTCCTGGGAGGCCCTCGTCGCCACCGCTGGATTCGCCCCGAAACCCCAGTCAGAACGCACCACGGGAGAGGTCCGGGGAGTAGCGGTATCGGTACCTTTCGGTTTCCCCAGAAGTGTTTCGGAGCAAACATCAGGCAGCAGCGTGGAATGGGGATTCCCCGCTGCAATGTCCAGGCGGAGAACCGCGGGCAACGCGTCCTCCTCCTCTTCCTCTTCCTCGTCCTCTTCATCGGCCTAGTACTCCTTCTCATCCTTCAGGCCCTCCATCTTCCTATCGTGCCATTGGTTTTTCTCTTCCACCGGCACCTGCTCCTGCAACCCCCTGAAGCACGCCTCCTCATTTTGGCCGTCCTGCCCATCCTCCTCTTCCCGCTCCCTCTCTTCCTCTCCCTCTCTCTCTTCCTCTCCCTCGTGCTCCTGCCTTTCCTGCTCCCCAGGCGGTTGCGGGTTGAATTGTGTCGCCTGGTTGCGGTTGCGGTTGCGGTTGCGCCAGCGGGCGGGTTGAAATGTGTCGCCTGGCTGCGGTTGCGGTTTCGGTTGCGCCCGCGGGCGGGTTGAAATGTGTCGCCTGGCTGCGGTTGCGGTTGCGCCCGCGGGCGGGTTGAACTGTGTCGCCTGGTTTCGGTTCGGTTGCGCCCTCGGGCGGGTTGACATGTGTCGTTTGGTTGCGGTTGTGGTTGCGCCCGGGGGCGGGTTGAATTGCGGTTGCGGCTGCTGTTGCGTTTGCGGGCAGGTTCGAATGTGTGGATTGGTTGTGGTTGCGGTTGCGGTTGCGCCTGCGGGCGGGTTGAAATGTGTCGCCTGGTTGCGTGGCCGACCCGTTCCAGAACTAAGAATCTCTAAGCACCGCGGCTCGCAGAGCTGGGAATACAGACGGACGGACGGACTTGCGAAGGAATGACATAGTGAGAATGGTCCAGCACGATGATTCAGGGCGCGAGCGATGCTGTTGAGAGGCCAGTGGAAACACGGGGGGTGATGCCGCAGTTTTTGAAGCTCGTAATCGTTTCCTTAGTCGTTGTTTTGCCGATCGGCGCGGGCCCTCGCACCCCCCACTCCCTTCCCAGTGGAGTAGGTCTTGGCTGTTTGGGGCTTCTGATTTAGGCAGGCGAAGTCTCCCCCATCGGGCGCACTGATGCAAACAATCGCATTCATCACCCACAGTCGAAACGCCGAATAAAGACATGCTCATCTTCCAGCCCGTCCTCGAAGGCTTCCATGGCGATTTGTCTTGAGAGGGGGGCGGATGGGCCTGAGTGCAGCAGAAGCCGGGTGCGCACCAGCCCGACCGAATTTTGGATCAACCCGATCAGCCTCACCGCCTTCGGGCCCTCTTCCTCCAGGAGAAGGCGGGTTGCGCTGGTGCAAGCCCAGCAGACCTGTAGGTCCCTGCGCGGACACTGCCCTTTGGGGACCCTGTAGGTTCGCTGAGGGGCCTAGAGAGCTTTCTGGGGCTGGAAGCTTTGGTCAACAGGGTGAGAAGGGGGGGCACGTAGGGTCCCATGTTTGGAGCCGGGGCGAGGCTAGCGATGAGGCTGGGGATGCGGATGGGGACTGGGATGGGGATGGTGGTGATGATGATGACGAAGGCGATGATGATGATGGTGATGATGCCGATGATGATGATGCGGGTTCTTATGGTGATTATGACGGAGATGCTGATGATGAGGATGGTAAGTCTGATGCTGCCGATGATGAGCATCATGCTCACCCACAACACCATGCTGCATGGTGTTGTGGGTGATCGTGATGATGACGCTAACGATGTTGATGTTGCTGCTGTTGGTGATACTGATGTTTATGCTGGTGACGATGGTTCTGGTGATGATCATGATGATGGCGATGCTGATTTGGCTATGATGAAAAATCATGTTGGTGGCGATTGTGATGATGCTGCTGATGATGATGATGATGATGATGATGATGAAGATGAGGATGGTGGTTATTGTGATGGTGATGGTGGTGGTTGTGCTGACGGTGATAATACACATGCTGATGCTGTTGGTGATGGCGACGGTGATGTTGACGACGATGATAATGATGTTGATGCTGGTGTTGCTGGGGTGATACGTATGAGCCTGATGGTTGTGTTGATTGTGGTTGTGATGGTGATGTGCGTGATGCGGATTTCGATGCTGGTGACTATGCGGTTGATGATGGCGACAATGTTTCGGATGCTACCGCTGCTGTTGCTGCTGCCGATGATGATGATGACGATGACGGTGCTGCTGTTGACGGTGCCGGTGATGTTGCTGCTGATGCTGCTCTTGCGGACGACCACGTCGTCGACGACGGACGACGACGACGACGGGCACGACGTTGACGACCACGGAGTTTGACGATGACGACGCCGCCGATGACCACGCCCCACACGACGACGATGACAACGACGGCGATGACGACGACAACGACGAAGACGATGATGATGATGCTGATGCTGATGCTGATGCTGGTGATGGTGATGGTGATGGTGATGGTGATGATGATGATGATGATGATGATGATGATGATGATGATGATGATGATGATGATGATGATAAAGATGATAAAGATGAGGATGAAGAGGATGATATTATGACGATGGTGATGATGATGAATCTCAGAAGGATAAGGAAGGGGACGGTGATGATGATGACGATGATGATGTGATGAAAAGTGGGGTCGGAGGAGGGGTAGGAGGAGGATCAGTTTAGCTTCATCCAGATAGGATCGTGCAGTGTCGCACGCGAGCCCTTCCGATCGCGACTCGAACGACGGCTTGAAATGGCGATCGGGCCCTTAGCGTAGCGGCTTCTAGTCCCGCAGCGAGGCATCTTCTTCTCGCTCTTCTCGTCCCTGAACAAGTTCCTGGCCTTCGAGCACCGGGATCCGTTCTTGGCGAAGCAGGAGAGACATGAAGCCCAGGTGACCACCCAGAGTCTGCGGTCGCGTGGGCCAGAGTCCCGAATCGGAGTGCGGTCGGTCCGACAGATCAGATCGAGGTCGGCTCGGGGATGGCACCTTGGTGTCCTTCGTGCTCGTCGGCTGCTCTCGTGCCTCCTGGGGGAGGTCACCCTCGAATGTTCTTCAGTTTGGCTGGCGCAGGGTCTCATGTCGGATTTTATTGGAACCTATACATTACCAGTGGCGGGCTGTTTTTCAATCCCATGATTTTTTCGAGGGTCGAGGACGACGTCGGGGTGGCGTGGTGTATATCTGTTTTTTTAGTTTTCTTGGGGAAACGAGGAAAACATGTATACACCAGGATCCCGCATACACCAGGATTTGCTCTATTGTTTGCAAGCTTCGGAGCAGGCCTGGAGCACGCGTCGGTGTATGTTCTTGCAGGGTGCGCTCCTGCCCCCCCTCTCTGCCCCGGTGCCCCTCGGCGGCCCTCTCTGCCCTGGTGCCCCCGCCGGCTCCGGGGGCCTCCCGCGGTGGAGGCGCCTCGTCGCGCCCCAAGCGCCAGGCTTCCGGGCGGTGCCCCGCGGCGAGGACCATAGGCGCGTGCTGGAGCCTTCGGGCACGCTGCCGGAGCGAGGGGCCCTGGCCTGTCAGCTGCCATGCTGGAGGTCAGCGGCGGGCGAGGGGGGGAAGTCAGAAGGAGAAGGCCTTTTCAGATGACGGCGGGACTTCTCAGACGCCCTCGCGGCTTCTGAGAAGTTCTCCTGTGTCTTCGGCAGGAAACTTCTCAGAAGGCCGGGGGACTTCCGGGCCTTCTGAGAAGGCCTTCTCCTTCTCACTTCCCCCCCTCGCTCGCCGCCGAGGAAGTGCACCCTCCTCGAGGGGGCACGAGGCCAGTGGCCTCGGGAAGGGGGGGGCAGTGCACGCAGCAGTCTGCGGGTAGGGATGGGGGAGGGGCCTGGGAGGAGCGCCGGAACGCCTGGGCGGAGCGCCCAGGAGTGCGGGAAGTGCACGATGCTCGAGCGGGCGGCGCGTGGGACGGAGGGGTCCCGGATCGAGCGGCCGTGCGGGGAGCTCGCAATTTGCGAGCAGGCGCGCACGGAAGGAGGGCTCAGGCAGTCACTGCCATGCGGGGAGGGCGCCATCCTCGAGCGGGCGGTTTGGGCATCAGCTGCCATGCTGGAAGTGCACCATCCTCGAGAGGGCACGAGGGCAGTGGCCTCGGGAAGGGGGGGGGCAGTGCACGCAGCAGTCTGCGAGCGGGGAGGGGGAGGGTCCCTTGTGAGAGTCCCAGAAGCCCGATGAGCCAGACCTTGGCCTTTTTCAGTGTTTCCCATACACACATAATTATATATGTATATGTAGATGTAGATGTAGATGTAGATGTGTATATACATATATAGTTGGATACATATATATATACACATGTATCCATACATTTATAGTCCATGAGCAGATGATGGCCGCCTCCTCCCTCCCCAGGGCCCTGACACATCTTTTTCCCAGGGCTTTCCCAGGCGTGATAAAAGGGAGGGGGTCCCAACCTTCCCCCGACGAGCAGTTTTGGACCCCCCCCCTCCCCAGACCAGTCATGAGAGCGGGGGCCTTCTTGCCTCCCAGGCCCCGCCAGTGACCCCTCGCTCAAGTCGGACCACCCCCTCTTCCTTGTGAAATCCAAGGCATGTATAAGTCCTCGCCTCGCAGGGGAAGGGCGGGGAAGCGGGACGGGGGGCACGCTGGCGGCTTCCACAATGCGGAGACGGGTGGGGGGTGGGTCGATGGGGAGGGGGCGGGCGTCCAAGAAGGCGGCGGGGCTCCTAAGAAGGCATGCGCTCACACACACGCACACACGCACACACGTACACACACACACACCTCACACACGCACACACACGCACAGTCACACAGTCACAGTCGCAGTCACAGTCACAATCACACACACACGCACACACACACATATATATATATACACACACATACACACTTATAACGACCATTAAAACAATAATAGTATTAACCACTATACTAGTTGTAGTAATACGAATAGTGATATTCATACAGTAATAATGTAAGTATTGTACGATTCGTAACACTAAAACTTATAGTGATCATGGTGATAACAATAAATGTAGCAGTGCTACTAGAATATTTGTAATACGGATCGTATGACTGATAATGAAGCCCGCCTGGCTTCCGGGAGGACTTCGCAGAAGCCTCCCAGGCAGTCTATGGAGGCCCCCTGCCCTTCCAGAAGGCCCCCGCCTTCTTGGAGGGCCTCCCCCCCCTCGGGTAAGCCCTTTGTGGGCGCCGCCTTCGAGGGGGCTCTCTTGGGGATTTATTGGGACGCTGTTGGGCGCTCTTGGTGCCGTCTTGGGCGACTCTGGGGCCCCTCTTGGGGCCTTTCCGGCCACCTTGTGGCCGTCTTGAGGCCCTCAAGGCGCATCGGAAGCGAACCGGCGAGACAGCACAAATCATCCATTTTCCGAAGATTTGTAAAGGATGTTGGGCTCTTGGAGGGGTCCTGAGGCGCCGAGAGCACTTAGAACCGTCTTTTGGCCCTCTTGGGGCCTCTTGGAGGCATGATGGAGGTCATCTTGAGCGATCTTGCGCTATCTTGAGGCAGTTTGGAAGCTATCTTGGAGCATCGGAGGTCCTAGTGCAGCCATCTTGAGCGAAAACAGGCCCTTTGATGACTCGTGGCCCCTCCCCCAAAAGCCCTTGGAGGGGAGGGGGAGGGTACCCCTTCCCGACGGGAAGTGGGGTTCCTTTGGATGAGGACAGAAATATACCGTTAGACCACTTACGCCCAGAGGGCTGGTGGGAGTTTGGACCGAAAACGTAGTGTTATTGAACTTGTGACCGAACTTGAGAATCGTGATGGTTTCGAGCCCAAAAATGCTGTCACACTCGGGCGCCAGTTTCGGTCATGCTCGGGCAGATGTTCGGGCCCAGTTTCGGTCACTACATCCTGCTGATAGAGGCGAGGCTACATGACATGTTGTTCCTCTTTTTTGGTCCGTTCGTGCGTTCAGAGGACCCGAGAATGCTTTAACTCGTGGCTCGCGGCATTGTGGCCGATGAGACGCCCTGCCGGAATACCCCTCCCAACCTTTCTCTCTCTCAAGTCCTGCGCACCTGCCCTGCAAGGTCGGGATTCGTGGCCCCATCAGTTCTTCAGCACGTGCGTTCGGCCGCAATGGTCATCCAGCCAATGCCGGTCTAACTCCAAGGGGGGTGGGGACACGCGTGTCGGCGGCGCGACGGGGGGGAGGAGGTGAGAGGGAGAAGGCTTTCTCGGAAGGCTGCGGGGCTTCTCAGAAGACTTCTGGCCTTTGAGAAATTTGTTGTGTATCCGGGGAAGGATAAGACGCCTTCTCAGAAGGCCCGAGGCTTTTCGAGCCTTCTAAGAAGGTCCGCCCCCTCTCACTTCCCCCCTGGGCTGGCCGCCGACATCCAGCCAATGCTGGTTTAACTCCAAAAGGGGCGGGGACACGCGTGGACGAGGCAGGGGGGCGTGGACGGGCCCAGACTCGCTATACAATCCGCTCCAGATCGTTCTGGAACGCTTTCAGAGCGTTCCGGCCGCACTGAAACGGCCGCGGCGCCCGATACATCTTCCAAACCCGCCGCTCTTCAGAGATCATCCTTCCGATTTTGTGTCGATCCTGCCTTCGTCTCAAGGAAAGCGGGTGGCCGCAGTTAGGCGTTCGATCATGGACGCGTTGTTGAACGCAGCCATCCAGCTTCTGCCACGACCACCGCTGGAAACCGCCAAAGGCCGCCGGAAGCCGCCGCAGACCGTCAGGAGACAGTCGAAGAACCGCCGAAGACGGCCTAGGAACGGTGGGTAACAGGGGGTCCATGGTCGAACACGTAACCGCTAAAGGTTTTTAGGTTTGGTCCCTCCCCTGTTCTCTCGGCGGTGAATAGGACTGGCTCTCAAACCTCCCTCCTCCTCCTCCCTCCTCCTCCTCCCGCCTCCGCCTCCTCCGTCGTCGTCGTCGTCGTCGTCGTCGTCATCGTCGTCGTCGTCGTCGTCGTTGTCGTCGTCGTTGCGCGGTGGGTGCCGCGGAAAACGTTTGCTACCCCCTAGTGGTGGGACCACAGTCCTTCAATGAGGCCGCCGAGCAGATAATTAGTTACCCCCTCTGGCATTATGGGGGGGGGTTTCTAAAGGCCTTTCAGGGTTAACAAGGGGTCCATGGTCGAACACGTAACCTCACGTTGCGTCTTCGGGGGGCCTCGCTAGTCCCGAAAATCAAGTGTCTTTTCTGGTGCCCGACGCGGGCCCGACGCGGACTCGCCGCGGATTCGTCGTGGATTCGACACGGATCCGACGATGACGACCTAGGTTCGACACGGATTCGACGCGGGTAGGGCCGCGACGGGGCAGACAAGGTCCCTCTGGGTCATAGCGCGCGTCGTGCCCCCTCCCCTCCCACCCCCCCCTTCCCCTCGATAACTTAGCGCTCCCCCCCCCCCGTGCATTCCTCGCACGGCCGTTGTGTGTCCAGCACCACAGTCTGGAGGGGCGGGGCACTACGTTACATGCTCCCTCCCGTTCCCGCCCCCACCCTTCCCCCCCATAACGCCCGTTGTGGCCTCGGATTAACAACTGCGCTCCTGGTGCACTTCGGCGGCCATCTCTTTGCCAGGGACGCGCTTCATAGGGGATCGAGCAATAACATAAACGAACGAACTCGGAGGTCCGCGCGGATCCCTTGGATCGGCGCTGGACCCCAGAGCGCGCCAGGGGCGGCGCCAGAGGTGCCGCCGGGGGGGGGGGGGGGTGTCAGGCGCCGATCCGAGAAATCCGCGCGGACCCCGTGTTTGCACTTTATGCCATTGTCCGATCCCCTGTTTTCAGCAACCCTCGAAATGACTCGGGATGACGAGGCGGTCCATGGGGCGGGGTCCACTCAGACCTCTCGGGTGCCACGCCGTGGCAGCCGTCCCGGCGCGGAGTGTCCTGGGGGCTTTCGGCGGGGCGCTCGCGGGGGGGGGAGTGACGGAGGCCGGGCCCGCTCGGAAGGCTCGGAAGCCCCCCAGCCGACTGAGAAGTCTTGTCGGTCTCGGCCTTCCCGAAGACCCAGGCCCCCTCGAGTAACGAAGAAATCATGACGGCAGGTTTTTATAAATTTTCGGTTTCCGGGGGCCCTCACCAGGCCTCGGGAGCGTCAAAGAACGACTCAGGATGCAGAGCCGGTCATGGGGAAAGGTTCGGGACCTCTGGGGGTCGACGTAATGAACAAATCATTATGTCGGGGGTCTGGGCTTTCAGGAGGCCAGAGGGCTTCTGAGAAGCCCCGCCGCCTTTGAGAAGGCCTTCTCCTTTTCATTTCCCCCCTTTCGCTCGTCGCCCAAACGTCAGAGGAAGGCCGTCTGCGACACTGGTAGTCGGCTTCTGGTGGGGGGCCCTCATCGCCACGGCTGGACGCAGCGCGGAAAACTTGTGCGTTTGGCTTCCAGGAGGGATCCGGGGATCGGTTTTAGACTCCCACAGGTGGCCCACAGCGTCTCAAACCGCCCCGCTCCGAGTACAGTCGCGACGCTGAATCAAGCACCGCCCTGGGTTCAGAAAGGGTCTCGCTGCTCCTACAGGTCATTCCCTGGTTTTTTCTCTACCCCTCCTCTCGCACCCAGGCCCTTGCAGTGCCAACCATGGGCTTCGTTCCCTGTGCAGCGTTTCTCATTGCAGCAGCCTGGCTGTGCGGTGCGTCTCCCGAGGCGTCGTCGCTCCTCGGCCAGGAACTGCGCGGCGCACAGCTCCTTGGCCCTGTAGGGCCGAAGTATTTGGAGCTGGGCATGAAGTGCGTTCAAACATGGTACGGTGTTCTCGTACTGGCTCTCCCCTGCAAGCGCGGGCAGGAGCAGATGGACAACCCCAGCTTCAACGATTGGGACCGCAGCCGGCCTCGCAGCGCTGCGCGTTTCCATTGTCTCCAGTCCTCCCAGATGGGTTCCGAGCAGTTGGGGTCGGAGGATCGTGCCGCAGCAGTGATGCGGCGCAATGCGGTGCCAAATTTTCGCCACTCTGATGCCGACGCATCGCTGACGCATCGAAAATGCATCGGCGATGCGGCGCGATCGTCCGATCCCATCTGCACGGACCCATGCACGACGTCTCTGCTGTCCCCGTGGCCGAGGAGCAACGAAACGTATAAGCATAAGCAAACGATATAAGAGCAGGAAAAGGTACCCATACCGCTGCCCTCGCCTCGTTCTCGCCTTTCTGGTCCTCCCGTGATGCCCCAGTCGCCACCGCTGGGGTCGCCTCGAAATTCTGGTCAGAACGCCCCCCAGGAGAAGTCTTCGAGCAGTGGTATCTGTACCTTTTGGTTTCCCCAGAGCAGCGCCTCCTCTCGAGGCAAGACCGATGCATAGACATAAGCTGTCGGCAGTCTGCGCCGCCTGCGCGGATTTCCTGATGCGGTATCGGTCCTTGCTGGCCCGATCCGATCCGATATTCCAGCGGTCAGATGCGGCCCGATGATTGCATGGCGCTGCGCGGCCGATGTAATTGATGTGATTATTTAATCGCTTCGCTCATTCCGCCGGCCCATACAGTCTCATGTCTGCCGTTTGCCCGAGGGCCTGGTGTCAATGCGGCGCTTTGGGGGTTCCTGGGGCCGCTTGGGGGACTCCTGGGGCGCTAGGGGGGGCATTTGGGGGGCCTCCTGGGGCCGCTTGGGGGACTCTTGGGGGCCTCCTGAGGGCCTCGTAGGGGCTTCTTAGGGCCGAGGGCTCGACATGTTGTTTCGTGTTCCCTCTCTGGGGCCCCTTTGGGGGCGTTCTTGGGGCCCTCTTGGACCGTCTTGGAGGCTTCTTGGGCCGTCTTCGAGCCCTCTTGGGCCATCTTGGGGCCCTCTTGGGGGCCTCTTGGGCCCTCTTGGGGCGATCTTGGGGGCCTCTTGGGCCGTCTTGGGGCGTCGGGAAGCCGAAAAGGTGGAAGCTCCAAAATCTCTCAAAAACCTAAGGAAAAACAATGAATTTTGCCTCCGGGGGCCCTCTTGGGAGTGCTCTTGGAGGCCTCTTGGGGCGTCTGGGGGCTATCTTGGGCGTCTTGGAGCGATCTTGTGGCATGTCGGACCCCTCGTGTACCATCTTGGGGGCCTCTTGGGGGCCTCTTGGCCTTTCTTGGGGCTCTCGGGGACGTCTCGGAGCCCTGTTGGTGCGCTCATGGGGCGCTCTGGTGGAGTCGCCCGGGGATCAGCCGGGAGTCGCCCGGGGTACTTTTCGTCCGGGGACCCCCAGGGGCCGCCCCGCGCGCGCGAACTAGAGAATTGTTAACCAGTTACCGGAGATCTTAGCACGCCTCTGGCCCGTTGGGCCGGCGAATTGTCCGACTCAGTGCCGACCCCGCCCGATCCGATGCACATTCCGATCCGATGTGTTTCCCCGATTCGATGCGGACTGTTCTTGCGATGTGTGTCCGTGTGGGTTGTATATGTATACACACATACGTAAAAGATGGAAACATGCATACATGTATGATCGATATGTATATCTGTATCCATGTCTATATTCGTACTCCTCAGACATTAAGGTTTCTTTGGCTATCACTTCATTGTCTAAGGGGGCTGAGCCTGAGTGTCCGTTTCGCAGCTTCGTGGTCGCCGTCGCCGCCTTGTCGCCGCCCCGTCGCCGCCCGTCGTTTGTGCCTGGGTGCCACTCTGGCGGCTCCTTCGCCGCCCCGTCGCCGCCCCGTCGCCGCCCTTCGTTTTGGCCTGGGTGCTTGCCCGGCGGACCCGTGGTCGCCGTCGCCGCCCCGTCGCCGCCGAGATTCTGCTTTCTAAGAAGTATGAGGATCTCCCCTCCCCCTGGAATTGCCACTATCCCTTTTCGACTGGCAGTTTATGATTGTGCCCCATCGTCCACCCTGAAGATGACTCATATCATCCCAGGCAGGCCAGTATCGCCCCCCCCATCCTGCATATATATATATATATATATATATATATATATATATGCATATATGTATTTATATATACACACATACAACGGGGGACCGGGTCCAGGGGCCGGGGGCCGGGGCCCCGACCGCAAATGTGGGGCCCGGCGCGCCGGGAGCCCTGCCGGAGCGCCAGGGACCGTCCAAGCTCGCCCGAAGATGGATGCGGAACGCTCGAAAACGCGCTCCGATGGCTCCGGATGGCTTTTAAGACGACTCCCATGACGCCAAGAAGGCCCCCGAAGGCCCCGAAGACGCCCCAAGAGGCACCCCGAGAGAGCCCCAATAAGCAAAAATCATAGATTTCCTGTGGGAAAACTGATGTTTTTGTGGTGTTCGCCTTTCGCGCTTCCACTGCGTCCGAGACGGCCCAAGAGGCACCCAAGCCGGTCTGGGATGCCCCCAAGAGGGCCCCAAGACGGCCCACGAGGGGGCCAAGACGGCCCACGAGGCGCCCAAGCCGCCCGAAAACGCCCCAAGGCGGCGCCCAAGACGGGGACGAGGAACCGAAAATTCTGGCCTTTTGGCCAAAGAGACCCCCAGGAGACCCCAAGAGGCTCCAAGAAAGGCCCAAGAAGCCCCAAGAGGCCCCCATGAGACTTTCCATGGCCATTTGGGCTCAAGTTTTCGGATCAGTGCCCTTTCCGCACGAGCGTGGTGCCAAGCTGCCAAGCCTATCTCCCCAATGATCGTGCCAGACTTATCCGGTATTGTCCACCAAGTGGAGCTTATTTGCACTGCGGCCTGCGCCGCTATGATGCTGGCGCGCCTGGCTTGGAAGTTGTGGACCGATGGCGCCTCAAGGTCTTGCTTTCACGATTACTCTGCTCGATTGCTCGCGTTCTCTACAGTCGTCAGGACGGCCATTCTTGGGAAAGACGGCACTCCACAATCTGTTCACAAGCGCAAGCAATCCATCAGGCTTGCCATGTCACGGAGAAGCTACCAGTTGTATTGTGTCGCAGTTGTCGTGATGGTTTACCCGATGTTGTTCTTCTCCGCAGATGACCGCCCGCATATGGTTCCCAGGCGCTTGCATTACGCATTCTCTGGGGTGATAGTTGTGTCAGTCAATGTGTGTCCTAGCTTGTTGACCCCATCACGACTTCATTTGTGGTATTGCCTTTTGTTACTTTCGCATGCGATTTCTCTGTCACCGCTGTTGCAGTTCGCGGAATCGATCAGCACCCTCAAGGCTCATGTATTGTATGATTGCTTAGTGTACTGCATGATTGACTTCAGCCTTCCAGCGAATTTGTTTTGGACGACACTCTGCTATCTTTCCGCTGCGTCCACAGCGCTTGCTGGCAAGTCCAATGGCATGCCGTGCCACGACCCGAAAACCGCAAATGACATGTTTCTTGATTGGATATGTGTCGTTGTATTTTTGGTAATATTGCACGTCGTGTTCTCAATGGTGGTCAGTACCCTCTTAGAGGGTCAAGCATGTCGGAGCGAGTTGCGCGCCGCAATGTCGATCTTAGCAGGCGTTTGTGACGCCGTGGTCGAGCTCGATGCCAACCTGACGCTCGTGTGGCCTTCCGAAAAGCTCGCGGCTTTGTTAATGCATAGCGAGCCTCGATCTTCGGCGGGAGTGAGTATATCGTCCTTTCTTGCCACAGAGGCCGATCGCGAAAAATTTGCCAAACAGGTAACCTCCAGTACTGCGTATGATGATTTCTGCACGGCTTTTCACGTGAAATTGCGGGACACTTTTGGCATCTCTGTGTCGGTGGACGTTTTCTGCGTGCGTTGCAGTAGTGATGATAAAAAGGAGTCGTACCTGGTCGGCTTTCAAGAATTTGCGGAGCTGACTCCACCAAGGAGGAGGACGCACCCGAGAGCGCCGACAATGCCTAGTGCTGAAATGAAGATGGATGTTCAGAGCTGGTGTGCGTCGAACGAGACTGCACACATGTATTTTGGCACCAATTCTGAAGGGGAGTCTGGCGCATCGTCTTCTATTTCCGAGGTTGCTGTTTGGGTCGACGGTATGTCACCAGAGTTAACCATGTTGCGTTGCACCATTGCCTTCGAGATGTTAGTTGGCAGCTCTTGGGCGCAAATCTGTGCCACCCAGAGTGATTTTCTGCAATGTACTCGGCCAGACCAGCGAAATGACTTGAAGTTTTGGGTTCGTCGTGCCTGCGATAGACTCGAGCTGCCAGCTGTGCACGGGGTGAGCTTCCGTTTCAGTAAGCAGCATCATCGTATGCGTATCGCCGTCGTGAGCACGCTGAGAGTGTCCGTGGATCCGCCAGGCGGCGAGGACTGGACTGAGGGCCTGGACCGACCTTCGTGCGTGGTGAAGCTCGTTCTCTTGATGTCCAAGTGGATCCAGGATCAGAGTTGGACCAGGCGCGTCAGCGCACCCGTGCGCTCTCACGCCCCTTTGTCAGCAGGCGTCCTCGAGTCGGATGGCGCTGGCGCGGCCGCGGCGGCGGCCTCGGAGGACGCCGGCAACACCCTGACCCCACCGCGACTCATCGACCAGGCGACACAGTCGGTGGTAACGAGCGGGCCGCGTCTCGAGGCCCCCGCGGGCGCTGGTGCGTCTCCGCCCGAGGCTGACAGCGCCCAGAGGTCAGACAGCAAGGGGAGCCGCGCGACTGGTGGCGGGTCGATCTCGCTCTGACTTGCAGTATTGGCTGGGGAGTGGAGGACGGGGACATGGAGGAGTGGAGGAGGAAGAGAAGGAAGAAAAGGAGGACGAGGAGGAACAAAAACGGCACATTGGGCCAATCTAGGGGGCCCGCCCGCCCTCACGCGAGCCCGAGAGCTTTTCTATAGAGGCGCCCGCGCCTCACCAGCCTGATTCCCTTTCCTTCCGTTTTTCTCCTCTCCCTCCGAGGCCAACTTCTCCTCCACCTCCCTGCCTCTCTCCACATGGGCATTTCTCCGTTGATCTCCGCCCCGCGCTGCATGCACACTCTTGCACGGCCTGCGAGGCCTCC